AGATTAAAAGTTGAGAGAGAGTTGTGGCATGCACATGTGTGAGATAAAATAATGTGGGTAAGAGAATTGTGGGTGGGGGAGAAAAAAAATAGGAAGGAGAAAGATGGGAGAGAGGTATGTGGGATAAATAAATGTAGGAAAGGAAAAGAAATGTGGGAGGGAGTGAGAGTAAATCACGAAAATAGATGAATTTATTTAAATTTGGGAGAGAAATGAAGGTACTTAAATTAGAGAAAGATGAAGATAAGCGTCATCACATTAAAAAAAAGAGTAACTTAGATGATGAGGTGTCATCATACTAAAAAATGAGTTACCTATTTTAGGCCTTATAAGGAGAGAGAAAATGAGAATGCAAATATAAAAATGTGAGAGACAAAAAAAAAGATTAATTTAAGTTCGTTTTAATTGGGAGAGAGAAGATGAGATGTCATCACACAACTAAAGGAGTTACCTATTTGTGTGTATTTTCATGCATATATGACGGAGAGAGAGAAAGCTAATATAGAAACGTGGGAAAGATGGAAAGAAGATGAGATGTCATCACACAACCAAATGAGTTACCTATTTTTATGCATTTGTATGCATGTAGGATAGACAGAGAGAGTTAATGGAAACCTATGAGAGATGAAAAGTAAGAGTAAATTAAGGAAAATAAAAAGAGAGAATGTAGAAATGTGGAGAGAGAGGGATAAGAATTGAATGAAAAAAGAAACATGGCATGATAATAAGAGATGTTTGCTTTCGCTTAATATATAATTAGCAATATGCACGTGATATTCATTATTAATTATAAAAATAAAATTTATTTTGAAATAATATTAAAAAAGGACTTTGGATTGGAGAGAGAGAGATATTCTAATAGATCCATCTTCATATAATTATAGAGAGAGAAGATAGACGCACTTTGCCGGTCTTATTTGATAAAAATAATTGAGAAACAATATAGTTAAATTAGTTTTACTTATATTAATATATATTATTTATTTATAAGTTAGAATTATTTGAAAATTAACAAAACTAAAGATGCAAAAAAGAAAAACAATAAAGAAATTATCTTTTTCCTTTTTTCATTTAGCAATAAAATTTTACTATATTATGAACTTATATAGATTGTATTGTTATTAATTATCATTTGGTTTTTTATATTTTCTGTTTTATTATTTTTAATATAGTTAATTTTATTTTTAATTACAAAAGTACATATATTATTCATTTATAAGTAAAAATTATTAAGAGAATATGAAAAATACAAAATATATCACATGATACGTATAATAAAATTATAATAAACATGTAACTATCGCAATCAAAACTAATCATAGTGTTGGTATTATTTATTTTTTCTCTTTTTATAATTGTAAAAATTTTCTTCTTTTTTTAAAAATTTTATATTGAATTTTAAAATTATTAAAAAAAGAAAAGAAAAAGACGAAGTACCTATAGAAAATGAAAGAAATAAATGAATAAAAACATAAATGAATAAAGAAAATTGGAGGAGTTTTTTTTTAATTACTAATTATAGTAATACTATAGTTTTAAATTTACTGAGGTGACATGCATTTTGAGGTACTTATTTATACAAGATAATTTCAATTATGTTAGTACCTCTATAATTTGTATTTATGGATGATTATAATTATGGTTTTTTTCTTTTTTTTGCATTTACAATTATATATTCATTAATATAAATTAAAGGGAAAATTACATAGACTTTCTAGGCACTTTACCCCACCCTAATTTTTTTTAGCTTATTTTTCCCAAAAATCAAGTTTTATAGCAAATACTCCCCAATGCAAAAAGTTCATTTTTTTTAACGAAAATACCCTTCCCGTACATGACAAATCATTTTAGGATCCAAATAAAAGGAAACGTTGGACCGCGGTTGTATATTGCCGGACCCATCCATTCTGCCGGACCAGAATTGTACACTGCCGGGTCACCTATTCCAGACAAACAAATCCCAGACCGCACTTGCAAAATGTCAAAACGACCTCTTCCAAATGTCGGACCACCTCACTGGACCGCCATGGTGAATTGCTGGACTGCCATCGTGAAGTGTCGGATCGTTCCAAATCAGTGACTTAAGTGCCCAAATGCCAGACCGCCACGGTGAAGTGCCGGACCATATTTTAGTATCTTTTTTTTTCTTTTTTTCTTTTTTCCAAATGGTGGGTATTTTAATCTCTTTTTTTTTAGTTGGGGGGTATTTGCTAGAAAACATAGTTTTGGGGAAAAAAATGCAAATAAAAACATAAATGAATAAAGAAAATTGGAGGAGTTTTTTTTTAATTACTAATTATAGTATTACTATAGTTTTAAATTTACTGAGGTGACATGCATTTTGAGGTACTTATTTATACAAGATAATTTCAATTATGTTAGTACCTCTATAATTTGTATTTATGGTTGATTATAATTATGGTTTTTTTCCTTTTTTTGCATTTACAATTATATATTCATTAATATAAATTAAAGGGAAAATTACATAGACTTTCTAGGCACTTTACCCCACCCTAATTTTTCTTAGCTTATTTTTCCCAAAAATCAAGTTTTATAGCAAATACCCCCCAATACAAAAAGTTCATTTCTTTTAAGAAAAATACCCTTCCCGTACATGCCAAATCATTTTAGGATCCAAATAAAAGGAAACTTCGGACCGCGGTTGTATATTGCCGGACCCATCCATTCTACCGGACCAGAATTGTACACTGCCGGGTCACCTATTCCAGACAAACAAATCCCGGACCGCACTTGCAAAATGTCAAAACGACCTCTTCCAAATGTCGGACCACCTCTTCCAAACGCTGGATCGCCATGGTGAAGTGCTGGACCGCCATCGCGTTCCAAATCAGTGACTTAAGTGCCCGAACGCCAGACCACCACGGTGAAGTGCCAGACCGTATTTTAGTATCTTTTTTTTTCTTTTTTTGTTTTTCCAAATGATGGGTATTTTAATCTCTGTTTTTTTTAGTTGGGGGGTATTTGCTAGAAAACATGGTTTTGGGGAAAAAATTGCAAGGAAAAGTTAGGTTGGGGGTAAATTGCTTAGAAAGTCTATTTTTGGGGGTTTCGTGCAATTCTCTCTAAATTAAATAATTTTTATAGAAAATATAAAAATTTCTTTAAAATTGAAAACAAATAACATTAACGATTTCAAATATATGAAAGAAATTTATATAAGATAGAAAGCTAGATTTTATATCATACATTTAACTACTCACTAAATAGAAAAATGTTTTTATTGAAATATAAAAGAAAATAAAGTATAATATGTGTAAATGGAAGTTATGAAATAGAGAAGTTTTGAAATGTGGGGGAGAGATGCAGAGAAATTTTAGAAAAGTTAATTTATTAGAAAAGAGAGAGAGAGAGAGAGAGGAGGTATGTGGGAATACTGAGGTAAGGGGGGGGGGGGTGGTTGGGGGATGAGGGTAATTTATTATGTAGAGGAAATGTGAGAAATTTTTTAAGAAAGTTGATTTATTAGGAGAGAGAGTAAGTACCTGAGAATATTGGTGAAGAGAGAATAGAGAGCAAAACGTGGGACAATTGTAGTATTATATTAAAATATATTTTATAATAATTCAATAAGTATTAATTGAATTTATAATAAAACTAATTTATTTTGTTACTATTAGTATTTATTACTAAATAGTTACAAATTATAATATTAAATATATTTATTACCATGAGATTATTATTTTCTTAAAAATACATTATACTTGTATGATTCATATATCAAAAAGTTAAATTGCTGTAATTAAACAATGAGTATCACATAAAAAAATGAAAGTTTGCTTAATGCAAAGATGATGATGTAACATTCATTCATCTTCATGAATATTTGCACAACTAATACATTTTATTAGGGTATGTTTTATCATCTATGTAAGCACCTTTCATAACTGCATTGCACATATAGAAGTACAATTGATGAACAATTAACATTATTTAGTTATTACATTGAACACGATACACACTTCTAAGCAAAAGTAATACTGATGAACTCTAATATCCAATGAGCAGCGAAATGAAGACTCATCTAAGTTCTCTCTCAAAGAAGCCAAAGCTGCTATATACATCTTTCGTGCTTCTTCTAGATATGATTCATAGATGGGTTTCTGAAAATAAAAACCTAAAAAAAAAAAAGAAACAAAAATCCAAAGAATATACAATATCAAAAGAAAATCGAAATCAAGACACCCGAGTAGAAAAAAAAAATATGATGGCCTTGGAGAGAATTAGCATAGCCACATTTATCGTGTGTAAAGCACTGGTTAAAAGTTGAGAGAAAGAGAGAGTTGTGGCATGCATGAGAGAGAGAGTTGTGGCATGCATGTAAAATGGAGAGAGAGAAACCTAACATAGAAACGTCGAGAGATGGAGAGAAGATGAGTTGTCAACACACAACATGGAGAAAGAGATAATAGAAAAATATAGGAGGGATGGAAAGTAAGTAAATTAAGAAAAATAAAAAGAAAATAGAAAAATATAGGAGAGATGGAAAGTAAGTAATTTAAGTGAAATAAAAAGAGAGAATAAGAGTGTGTAAAAATCTTGGAGGGAGAGATGGATAAGAATTAAATGAAAAAAGACACGCGTGGCGCGATAATAAAAAGGGTGTTGCTCTTGCTTAATATATAATAGACAATTAGATAGATAGATATGCTTCCCCCTCCCCCATTCAGGCATCCAATTTAGATCAAGTGAATCACTAACAGTTAGATCTAGATATGACGCCTTACAATATTTTATTTTTATTTTTTTCTATAAATTATGTGAATATGAATTGGTTCTTGCAATCATCTCAACGGGGCATACCTAAAAAAACGTTAAAAACAATATTTGAGGTATTTTGGTTATTTTATTTTATTGAGAATATTTTTTAACGGTATGAATTTAAGAGAGGAGTGGACACCCAAATTTTGGTATCAAAATAGTTTGTAAAAAACAATTAGTGTAAAAGGGTGACATTGTGATTGGGGTCATCTCACCGTCCATTCAGAATGGATAGTTGGATACGGGTAAATATATAAGTTTTATGCAATAGGGAAAGTAAAGAAAGCTTGCCTGTCACATAATATCACAAACATAATAATGAAAAGAAAACTTGATTGTCTTCTGCAACCATATTAAGTTATTTTAGGCTAAGCTGAAAATGGTTTAATACTGTAATCAAGTCAAGGACGAAGTATGAAGTCATCTAGGGCGCTCTTCTTTTTGGCATCCTTGCTCCAAAATGCATCAAAGAACTCAGCAAATATGTAACTTTTGTAAATTGCAGGATTCTCCTTATTCACCAATGCATCTGCAGGCCCAATTAAGGTATCCGAAGAGGGGCCGTAAAATGTTGGTATTGAAATCCGAGCAGCTGTCGAGTTTGTGACTACGCGGTGCTTCACGCTTTTGAACCTCCCATTGCTAATAACCTAACCCATTTTGACATGAGCTGTCATTAGAGCAGGCCACAGGACCTGGCACAGACCCGGCAAAATTGGGCCAAATAAAATCAAAAGAGTAATTTACGTACGGGCCATAAAATTTTAAGTAAAACACGAAATGCTCTTTGTAGGTATAAATTACAAAAAAAAAAGTCGGTCAACCTCTCTTTTTTTTATTTTTTTTAAAATTACCTTTCGGATAACCTGAATTTTGACATTTTTTTTTTGTTTTTTTATTTTTATACGTTAGTAGGGCAGTGCATTAAAGCTTGAGGCACTACCCTACTAAAAAAACTAAAACAAAAAATCAAAATTCCAATTGACCAAGGGCCAATATTGAAAAAAAATAAAAAAATGGGGTTCACTGACCTTTTTTGTTTTGTATTTTACCTAAAATTTTAGGATCCGTACGTAGATCACTCAAATAAAAAACAAAAAGTCAAAAGAGAAAGTAAAGAAAAAGAGGCCCTGGCTGGGTGGAACGGGGCCGGTCCTAACGTGGTCTTGGCCAAGGCCCAAATAGGCCCTGCCCTTGAGCCATGTTTGCCTAGTCCTCCGGCCCTATTTTGTGACCCGAGATTTTTTTAGGGAGTAGGCTGACGGGGCATGCCACCCCAAGCCATCATGTGAATTTGTAATTTTTGTTTCCTTCTAGTTGATAAGCAAGGTTTTGAAGGTTGTCACTTAAAAATCTTCAAAGTTCATACCAATATCCCAAAACAAGTCTCAGACTTGAATGTAGCTGGGTCCAAAATCCGAGTCATCCCTACATAGTCGACCGAGTCTAGACAAGTTGTGATCCTAAAATATAGAATCAATCGAAGTTTGGCAGGTTTTTGCTCGAACGCGGCAATCCGAGTAACTCGGGCGAGTATGAGTGAACTCACTAGAGTTTTATATCACTGGTCCAGAAAATTTTCCTCCAATCCAAGATTTTAGAAATTAAATTTTGGTTCTCTAAACGTCCTTTATGAAACAGCCTGCATAGTTTATGTTATATGCCATTCAAAAGCACTTTAGAAATAAGAGATAAACAACTCATTTCCTTTTTCTTTTTCTGCTTATTTTCATTGAATGATAATAACTACAAGTGAAGGAGAAATATGATTTGAATGATGGAAAATTCGATATTTCAAAATACTATCTAGAATAACTGCAAAAATGGAAACGAGACCGGATATAATTTGCTCATTTTTACTAAATCCAAAATCTTTATAGACCGCACAAATCATAGCTCCCAACTATGAGGCGAAATTGGAAACACAGACTAACTTTAATAAGAAACTCAATGTCAATTAGGAAACTCACTAGGGTTTTAGAAAATTTTAAGTGTTCATCATACTGCATAACAATATTCAAATGAATTGCTTGATTTTTCATCTACCTGTAATTGATCTGCCACATTAAATACCAAAGCATTTCTCATAGGCTTGACGGCGATCCACTTTCCATCTTTCAATACCTGCAAGCCGCCTGTTTCATCCTGTAGAAGAATTGTAAATCCATCAAAATCGGAGTGGCATGGCACTCCGAGGGTCAGATTTGGATCAGGGCATGGAGGGTAGTAATTGATCAACATTATGTGCTTATGCTTCCCAAATTTCTCATTCAAGTATCCGGGATCGAGTCCGAGTGCCTCGGATAAAAGAGCCATCAGGTTCAATATCAGGGATCTTATTTCGACGACGTATCTGCTGGCTACTTCCCTACAGAAAACCAGTTAAGAAGTTATTTCTCAGTTGATTGTTGCAAGTAGCTAAATCAATGATCGAGGACTCTTGCATTTGGTTCCTTGCTAAGCTGGGTATCAGGGTGCAGCTCAGGCTACTTAAAAAATTTAAAATATAAAAAAGTAATAAAAATGTGGAATCGATGTATAAAAATTATATATGTGAGTTGTGCTTTTTTTAAAATGATTTAAGATTTTTTCTTGTAATATGGACTTTTTTAATATTGTCAAAATGTCTCCAACCATAAAACATTTTTTTCTAAGGGAATTTATATACAGACTAGGGAAATTTTTTGGAATTACCTTTTAGTCCATAGTTTTGGATATTTTACGATGACATCCCCCTTTTAATATTTTTTATTTTTCAGCTTTTTATTGCCATTTTTTAAATTTGTAATTTGTTTTGGGCATTTGTGGGATAGTTAAATGAATTACGATATCGAACAGGAATATTTCTTTGGTGGTTCAATAAAGACAGCATCAAATCGCACTAAGTTTAGAAGAAATTATATATATATATATATATATAGACGGGTCAAAGGTATTAAGAAAAATAAAAATATATAGATAGGTCCGAGGTTTGGAATATCGAACCACCCCATATACCAGGATAAGCTAGAACTTTTGCAGTCGGAGTCCCGAGGTAAGCATAAAGACATAAGCTAAATCTCCATAAGAAGAAATGGCTAGCATTGATTATCGACTCATGTTTTGTACCAAAACCTTATTATGCCAAACATTCATCATGTTAAAATCAGCATGGCTTTGAATGGTAACTAAGTTATACAAATCTCATGTTTGGATCATCTTTTTGTATAACTCAAAGTTCGACAAAAAAATAAATATTTACATATGCAAAAAAATTATGAGAAAAAATTACTTTAAGAAAGAACAAGGCACAAAGAGAGAGAGAGAACGCATCAAACTTGAAATTTTGAGATAGTTTCTCTATAAAAATTTTGAAATATTTTTTTCTCTAAAATTTAAAATTTGATATAGTTTCTTTCTCTAAAATTTGGAGACAATTTTCTATCTAAAACTTTGAAACTTGAGATAGTATCCCTCTCTAAAATTGTTAGACAATTTCTCTCTCCAAAAATTTTGAGATAGTTATCTCTTTAAAAAATTTCAAGTAGTTTTTCTCTCTAAAATTTTAAGATACTTTCTTTATCCAAAACTTAAAATGTGAAACAATTTCTATCTCTAAGATACTTTCTCTCTCTAAAACTTGAAATTCAATACAGTTTCTCTAAAAATTTTAAGGTATTTATCTCTCTAAAAATTTTCAAGTAGTTTCTCTCTCTAAAATTTTTACGTACTCTCTCTCTCTCTCAAACTTAAAATTTGATATAGTTCCTCTATAAAAAAATTTAGATACTTTCTCTTTCTAAAATTTGATATGGTTTCTCTCTCTAAATTTTAACATACTTTCTCTCTCTAAAACTTAAAATTTGGAATAGTTTCTCTATCTAAAATTTTTGATATAATTTCTCTCTCTAATAATTTTTAGGTAGTTTCTCTCTCTAACATTGACTGTAGTCTCTCTTGAAAATTTAAGATATTTTATCACTCTAAAACTTAAAATTTGAGATAGTTTCTCTTTAAAAAATTTCATTTAATTTCTCTATCTAAAATTTTAAGATATTCTCTCTCCAAAACTTAAAATTTAATATAATTTCTCTCAAAAATTTTGAAATAATTTGTCTCTAAAAAACTTTGGGTAGTTTCTCTCTCTAAAATTTGATATAGCTTCTCTCTCTAAAATTTTAAGATGATTTCTCTCTCTATTTCTTGGAATGTGAGATAGTTTCTCTATAAATTTGATATAATTTCTCTCTCTAAAATTTTAAGATATTTTCTCTCTCTAAATCTTAAAGATAGTTTCTCTCTAATTTGTAAGGATATTTTGCTGGAATTAATTGTATTTGATAAAGTGGGTTGTTCTAGTGTATGAAAATAGTTAGTAGGGAAGGTTTTTTATACTTCGCCTATATAAAACTTATATACTCCCCCTATCCAACCATCCATTCTAAATAGATGACCTCAATCACAATGTCAGACCTCATACTATTTTAGTTTTAATATTTTTTTTAGAAAATATTTGGAAACCAAATTTTCGTCGTCCACTCCTCTCTTAAACTTGCAAATAAGATTAAATAACCAAAATGTCCCCAAAGTTTTAGGGATATTTTGGTTATTGTATTTTATCAAAAATATTTTTTAATATTGTTTTTAGGTGCTCCCCATTGATACATTGGGCAGTTTCCATACAGACAAGGTGTAGAGATACGATCCCCTTCAAATTTTATCATGGTATATAATTTTGATGTAAAATGTTATTAGGATTATCTCAAAATCTATTTTTATATCTAATTATAAAATTTTAAATTTAAAAAATGGTTAAAATCAAGTAGATCTATAAACTTATGAAATCTTGAAAATGGACAGTGTAGATAATATGTTGTAAAATGCACTATTTCGCAGACTTCAAATCTTTTTATTTTTCATAGTCATACATCTCGATGTCGAGATGATCAATCAAAGGGTTTTTCAATATTAAAACTACCTTTTCCGATGGATTTTTTAGGGGCATCCGTAGTTCTACATTATAATATAGCATCCTTATAAAAACTTTTTCCTCAATACAATGGCACATATCAAATGCAATATTCATATAACTTGTAGAAAAAAGATTAAAAATAAAATACTTTGAAGCATCAAATCTAGATCAACCAGTGTTTTAAAAAACGTCGAGTCGAGCCGGACTCGCCCGGTTCGACTCGCAAATCGCGAAAAGGGGATCGGATCGGCTAAGAAATCGAAAATCGTCCGGTTCTAGAGAGAACCGGACGATTCTGCACATTGACTCACCGAGTCACTGTGCGAAGTCGGCGAGTCCGTGAAGAACACGGGTTGCACAGTGTTCTTCACGGGATTCTTTGAAA